TTTTTGGGATTTAATGAAAAACAAATTTTACCAATATAAGATTTACTAACATCTAAAGACACTGAATCGGGAGAATGGTCTATATCAATACCTTTAAATAGCATGTGAGTACCTGAAGGGACTGAACCAATAACAATTGCAAATTCTATTTGAGTAACTGGCGTTTTACAATAAGAAAGGAATTCATCATAAGAAAGGAGTGTTCCTTCTTTATTATATAACTGACTAACCAATTTAATATCATTATCAAACCAGTTCATAAAAAATAAATAAATAAATAAAAATGATTTGTTTGTAAAGAATGTTTCTATTATTCCAGATGAAATAGCAATGCAGTGAAAAATTATGCTTATATATTAATGACCAAGATAGGAGCACTTGTTTGTGGAAGGCAGATAACTTAGCTGGAATTTTATCTATATTATAATTACACATCAAAACAAAACTAAGACCACCAATATTTGAAAAAACAATGAGGGATAAAATTCCACACAGAAGTGGGTTTTTTTAAGTAATGCTTAATCCAATTAATCTTAAAGCCACCGTTCTCATATGTATTCATAATCAGTCTTTTTAACAGTGTGTTTGATTTCTCCAATTTAAAAAAAAAAAAAAAAAAAAAAAAAGGGTTGTATCAACGGCTAACTGACTTATAATTTCTCTATTTGCAATTGAGACTCCCTTAAGAATACTTATTTTAACATGCACAGATAATAATTGGGTTACAAGCAGGAAAAGATACAGAGAGATAGGACAACCCTATCTAATACCTCTTTTTAAATCAAATCTAGAGGTAGTTCCATGTTTGAGTTTGATTGAGCAATTTGCATTATTATACAGGGTTTCAACTGCTGCACCAAAAAAAATAAACAAACCCAAAAACCTTTAAAGAAAATAAATTAATGTTCTACAGTGTCAAAAGCTTTACAGAAATCCAAGAATAAAATAAAACTTCTCATCAATTAAATATGAATAATCTAATATCTAAAACCAACCTTATATTATTCGGAATATGCCTGTTTTTCATAAAGCCTGACTGAGTTTCATCTATAATATATTCTAATACATTCTTAATTCTTTTAGCAAATATAGAGGCAATTAATTTATAATCATTATTCAAAAGACTAATTGGCCGCCAATTGTCAATAATAGTCCAATCTTTTTTAGGCTTAGGAATAAGGGTAATTAACCCGAGTCACGATAGATGGGAGGATGGACTTAGATAAACTTTCAGAAAAAACTAAAAGAAAAGGGGTTAGCTGCTCATCAAATAACTTATAAAATTCTGAGGTAAGACCGTCACTTCCGGGAGACTTATTGTTTTTCAAGTTATGAATTGAATTAGTCATTTCTTCTAAACTAATAGGTTGGTCACACATAGCTTTATCATTTGAGGCTTTAGCATCATATTGTGATGCATATAGTTTACGGTAAAAGGTGGAGCAAAACTCTGAAATCTATTTAGGGTCCTTTGATATTTTACCATTAATTTTTAACTGATGAATAGTATTTAACGTAGCCTGATTTTTTTCTAGTCTAAAGTAGGAGGTATTCGGTTCACCTTCCTCCAACCTTCTTTTCCTAGACCTTATAAAGGCACTTTCAGCCTTTTTCTTATAGATGTTGTCTAATTTGTAATTCTGCCATATTTGTTTTATCTATATCTGAAAAATTGTTAGACCCTTTGTTTAGGAGTGAGGTAACACCAAATAATTTTATCTTCCCGTTCTTTATTAACTTTAGCAAGATAACTGCCAACATGTCTTAAATATTTAGAAGCCTCAAATCAAAAAAAGTTCCCAATTAGAGCAATATAATTGTTACGGTGGTGGCCGCCCTAGCATAAATAAACTCTATTAAGGAAAATATTCGGGCGCCAGTCAGGTTTAAACCCTGACAAATTAAATTAACCCACGATAGCTCCCAAAAAAAGAAACCACCTGTTACAATAAAAAAAAATGTATTCCATAATGTCCAAGAGAAAAAAAAACGTGTTTGAAAAAGGTCATCCAAAAAGAAAAAGAAAGGGTTCAAAACTTTATTTCACTTCACACGTGAAATTGAGATAAGTGAAGAAAAGCGCGTCATTCTATTATTTTCCACAGTGGCAGTTTCACGTCCACGTTCATTCATAAATTGACCATAGAAAGAGAGAGAAAAAAGGACACATCTCCTTTATATCCTCCATCCTTCCGCCATTAATTGAAAACTCCGCCCCAATCACTCAAAGTGAAAACGAAAGTAAACCAAAAGATGTTGTGGCCCAAAGTTTTTGCACTGCCACAAATTTTTCTATATTAGCCTTTTTAAAAAAATACTTAATGAGGCGTGTAATCTCTATTTTTACTGATTAAATTTTCAGTAAAGAATTATTAAGTTTCCAAAAAGAAGATTTTGCTGGACTATAATAAGTGGATATCTGCATATTGAGAAAAATTGCTTTGTGGTCAGTAAGAGGGGTTGGAAATACGTCAACAGAAATATTGTGTAAATCAACATTCCTAGATGTAAGCCAAAAATCTATTCTTGATTGCCTGGAGAAATCATTATTACACCAAGTATATGTTTTTCTATTTGGATACGTTTGCCTCCAGATGTCTATTAAGTCATATTTCTTCATAAAGGTTTTTAATAGCAAATTACATGGAGCTTTCTTTGGTGGCATACGATCTAGCATATTATCTGGAGCAATGTTAAAGTCTCCTCCCATACAAATTATACCAGACGGATATTTGTTTAGCCAAAAGACAATTTTGTCTTCAATCACTTCAAACAGAACCCTGTTTTCATTTGAAGAATTGTAACCATACATGTTAATAAAAAAAAATATATATATTATTAGTGTAAAGAACCAAAAAAAGAAAATGCCCGCAAGGGTCACAATAATGATGTAAAACATCACCAGCAAACGTATTATTTAGTGTTAAAACACCTGCCGAATGTTCAGATCCATGAGAAAACCATGCATCACCTCCCCACTGTGATTTCCAGAAGTTACAGTCATTTGCAGTGGCGTGAGACTCTTGAAAGAAACAGAAATCGGTATTGTATTTCTTCCCAAAAAGAAAAATAGCTTTACGAATCTCTCAAACCCCTGGCATTTAGAGAGATAACAGAAATAGAAATAATGAACAAAAAAATTACAGAAAGTGCAAAAAGAGCACAACATGTAGTGAGAATAAAACTGAGAAATGTAGCTCTGCTTAACATACTGAGAGAAAATCCTACCGTCAAGGCATGACAACTGGTTGCCGAAAGAAAGTACATTAACAAAAATATGAGCCGTAAAAATACAGAAGCATCATCCATAGATGTGATCGTAGCTGATAATCGAAAACTTAGTTCGTAGAATTCGGAAAGTTCGTCAACGATAACCTGGTCCGCAAAAGGGAGTTAAGTTTGTGAGAAAGAGGTGAGAGAAAGTCTGACTCTTATTTTTTAAAATTTATTTCTCAGCAGACGTAGGCAGATGGATCTCAATGCCATTAATGAAGGCGTGTGCACCCACGTAGTAAGCAGCTTTTCCAGCTGCGCGTGCTTCTTCTATCATAGGCCACAACTTCTTTAGTTTCTCTCGGTCTAGTGGAGTAAGGTCTTCCATAAACCGCATTCCGTTGTCCTTCAGATAAGCCGAAGACTTTGCTGCCTTCCACACAGCGTCCCTGATCATGCGTAAGGTAAACTGTACTATGACAGCACGAGGGACAGATTTGCTGCCAATTTGATTCTGCTTTTTCCCCAATCTGTGAACTGAGTCTATAGCAAATAAGAATGTGCCCTTCCCTTCAGGATATGTTTGCTCACATATGCGGATGACTTCATCCCTGATGTTCTCTTTCTCTTTTTGTGGAACCCCTCTCAGGCGAAAATTCCAGCGCCTTGAATATCTCTCCAGCTCAGCTAAACGAGTTTCACACTTCTCAATTCGCTGCTCCCCGAGTTGCAACCGAGAAGCTAGGTGGTCAACTTTCACTTTCACATCTTTGACTTCAGCAGAGACAAAGTCCACAGTCTTTTTCAGGCCCTCAATTTTCATAGCGTTGTTACTCACCAACTTCTCGAGAGAATCAGAGCGCTCGTTAATCAGTGATGAAATAGATGATAACATCGCGACCACATCTTCCAAAGTTTCCATTTTCCCTTTCTTAGAAGCAGGTTTAGTTGGAGTGTCGGGAAGAAGAGTTGAGCAAAGAGTATCCAGAGTATGTCCAGAACCGGGATCAGTAACAGCAGAAAGTGCGTAGTCATGCATATCTACAGATACGTCCATCATACTTTTCGCCCGTTTTTTATGTTTTTTAGCACTTTTTGGCATATTTACGCAACAATTACATCCTTAATAAAACACACACCGAATGCGTAAGGTAACCAGTTGAAAGCAGACAGTTTACTTGAGTTATAGTAGTTTTTGTCAGCAGAGCTACTAAAAGTTATCTTAACATGCCGCCATCTTGGGCCCCCCAAATCTCGTTAAGTATGAATGAGATCCGGACTTCATCCGCCATGTTGACGTTATCATGTGATCTACGACGTTACAAGTGCAACAATTTAAAAGATACAAGCGGCAGGTTTAATTAATCTCTCAGTAAATATTTTGATGTTTAATTTCCTCATTTTGTGGTCTTGTTAAAGAAACAGCTGCCCTTTTATTGTGATTGTAGTATAACCAATACATTTTGGGTTGATTTAAATTTTTATATATTTAACCCAACTAATATGACCCACAGTTTAATCCTTAAATATATTATTTTTCCTTACGATAACCCAAAATTGTTATCTCTTGAATATATATATTTTATGTGCAATATTTTTCATCCACAAGCAAAACCGGCTTAAATATCCTGTTTTCCTTTTTTTCTTGTTGAATTTAACGTTAACTCTCTTGTTTCATCCCTCCGGCTTATAAACAACTACAACAACAAATGCAATATTTTGATGCATTGATTAAATGAATATTATGATTAAAGATATTTAACCTTGTCATTGTGCCTCTTTTTCTGTGAATATAGTCTCATACTATGATGTATGGAAACCCATTATATTTATGTTTTCTGCTGTTTGTCATTATGATTGTTCATTGTTAAAGATACAACCATCTTTCCCTTAGCTTGTATGTAATTATAAGTTCTGCAGTATTAATAAAAAACTGACAACAGGAAACATGAATAAATGAGTAAAAGAATAAATAAAAGTAACCATGACAATAAATAAATATCATCGTCACATGAAAAGTCATCGACACATGAAACAAAGCTTTATTCAAACATTATTCTAACAAACATGTACTTACAGGCGGTGAACCCACATCCTACTGCCATCTCAACACAGCTCTGCCAGTTCTGCAGCTTTATTCTGATGAAGCAGCTGACCACTGTGTCCACCTTCACCCGTCTCTGCTGTCCATCACGACCATCATTGCTGCAGTCAGACTGAATCTGATCATGGATGAGAAAGGGACATCGAGGCAATCATTGCCTGAGTGCACAGAGAGGATGAGGCCTCCCGAACCACAACATCTTGAAGCAAGAGCAGGTGAACACATGCGGGACAATCTGGCTGCTGCTGTGTCTGCTCCAAACATTCGTGTGCCTGCTC